TTTAAAAAGTGGTAAAAACCTGGAGTGAATTTAACTTATTGATATATTATTGCTTAAGTATGTATATAGCGAGGTATGTAGGAGAAAAGAAGAAATCCGAGAAAAATTTACATTATTATATACAGGGATTTTTTTATGGCAGGGCCAACATTGCAATATTATAATGCTATATCTCAAATTTTTTTTTAAATGCATTACACACTGTATATTATTTTTAGTATTTTAGATACCTACAGACTTAAAAATCGCACATTTTTGTATTTAAAATATTTCTAAATTTTTAGCAGTTGCCTTAAGCCTTATGTAATATAATTCGCAGTATTATACCGTATGATCGAATAAAAACGGCGTCAGCGATGGCTATGAAATGAAGATCGCTGTCATTGTATATGTAAAATTATATGGGAAATGTATCGATCGTTATTTTCAAGCCAACTGGACGCCGTTTTTTTTCGATCATACGGTACCTATTACATAGGGCTATTGCAACAGTAAATTTTTATCAAAGCGACCTCAGGATATTTTGTCTTATATTTTACTCTGTATGGTAAAATTTTGTTTTTCTACCCATCCTATAAAAATAAAACAAAATGAAATCTCTGTAACAGATTGCTTTACTTTTTGACTATACGAGTACACAATTTATCTAGAAACAATTCGAATTCGAAAAACTTTACCTGGGGAAGTCCTCTGATGATGCATGGTCCCTCTAAATCATCATATCAATCAACAAGTCACTGTCCACTTTTTAGATATTTACTTAATGCGTTGTAATCAGTAAGACGAGTAATTAAACATGCAATTCACATTAAAAAACGTATATATTAATCAATTAGAGACAAAACAGTGCAATAACCGGTAGAGTTAATTCAAACTGTGTTTCAAACTAATACAAATTCCCAAACAATGCAATTCTGCATTTTCAGCCTGTCGCCTAAAATCTCTCGGGATGACCGGGAAGTGATACATATTTTTAACGAACGGCTTTTAAGGTTTAAATTTACATTTGAGGCTCGCCTCAATACGGTCTTTTTACGCGCTACTACTCAATACATTTTATCTCTCTTCACCTAAAGGTTTTTCTTTTCATTCTATAGATTTAAGATAGATTCCAGTGAACGCTGTCGCTCCGTCAATGCGATATACCACAATACGTTAGACAAGGAAAGGCGAGAGGCAAACCTCTGCACATATCCTTCTTAAAGAACAAATGAGATGGATATATATATCGTCGAGTTTGTCGCATATGGGAAAGGAAGCGCGTTTAAAGGAATACCATCGACGTAATTTATTGTAGAATGACGGATAAAAAATACAATTATTATTGATGCAAATAGGGAAAAAAATTTTAAATTGTGATTAATGATGTATCGATTAATACTTGTAATTCTTCAAATGTATTAGTGAGGCACTGCCTCATCTGCCTCATAGGACAAGCCGCCCCTGATAATAACCATCTATCCAAGAATGAAATCTAAATTATATTACCATAGAAACAACTTTTGGTTGTTTAGGAAAAAATTTAACTATGTTTCCATGTTTTTTTAAATTTTCTCTAAAACGGTATGGAAACTTGGAAAGGTATAAATGATTAAACCATTTTAGAACAAGCAAAAAATTTTATGAATGTATATACTATAGATCTGCCATATAAAAGTTTTTCTATTAAGATAATATTCTATTCTTTTCAGATATATTCTAAAATTATAATTTTAAATCCTTTTTAAAATATTCGCAAAATATATACAAAGAGAATTCCATTTTACGTTTTATGCTCGAATTTTCTAGATAAATTCTAAGTTTATGATAAATTCTCTGAATAAACTGTCATAAAATGGGTCAAGAATCCAGTTGGCTCATATCGTTCCGGATTTTTAATCCAACCGTTGCTATAAAAGTGGCTACAAGTTATCCGACGATATATACACGCACCATATCTGCGATCTCCAGCCATAAAAGTTTTCTAATCCTGGAGAAAACTAATCAGAAAATGTTCCGACTCTTGTGGTTGCAAACAAAAAGCATTTATTTAGTTAATATATATAGAAATATACAGAACAATCCAGTTGGTGTTCTAGAAAAACTTCCACAGTAAGTTTTATATTTGATATTTTCACCCCATACTCAGTGACGGCTCGTGACCCTTGTGACTGGGTAGGCGACAAAATTTTAGTTGCGTCTATTTGCCCCCCCCCCCTAATTTACATAATACCCTAAATACCCTAATCCAATTTGTAAATATAAGTTATCTCTGGGTTAAAAACTTAACTCAAGAATATTTAGGACAAAACCAAAGCAAAAATAACAGCATTCAACGTAATAACATAATGTACAAGTATATGTTTTTTTATCTATTACTATTGAGTCATTATGGAGTACATGATAGAATTTTATTTTATTTTTATTTATTTACGCAAACTTAAAAATTGGTAGTATTGATAGTAAAATCATCAGAGTATTGGTAGTATTGGTATCATCACTTAGTATTCGTAGTAAAATCATCAGATTGTTGAAGAGCTGTGAAAAATCTTTTTAGATTGAAAGTAAGGCAAGTGCCGATAAACGTTTATTTTTCATGGAATCTCTGCTATAAATTTTAACGCATTTCAAACATGAAAAATGTCTCTCAACCCAAGTACTTGTCAATGGTGTAGTAACAAACAAAAGAAACAATTTGAAAGCCTCTGGAAACATATTTCCAGGATTATTCTCCTTAAATTATTTTGTAATCGAACTTATCATATCTATTATTAATACCTGCAATTTCAAATTTCATTAATTTACGTTGGTCAATAACATTTTGGTTTGTTAAATCACTATTAAATGTGTTGGAAATATATCAATATAATAATAAGTTTTGTTAAATCAGATCATTTTGAATAATCTCGGACAAGCCCGAAAAATGTTTCCAATTTGCTTTAAACGTTATTTGAATGTTCATATAAAAGTTTTAAATGCTAGGTATAATGAATCATATGAAATATCCCGTTAATGAAATGTGATATATCCCCTTATGAAATATCGGGAATATCCCCTTAACTTCTAAGCCTACCGAGCCTCTACGACTTCATGCGAAGGCGACCGGAGATTTCGCCTAAGCCCCGCGTTAATATGATACAACTCCGACTTAAGTCGCGTCGCTACCGCACGATGAGTTAGATAGAAACAGAAGACTGCCGTACGTAGTGCATCGACTCTGATAGTAGGCGATGTAGAAATCGCCTACAACGGCCCTCCAACGGTCAAAATTATTTTGTTTTCGAACGCAGCGGCACAGTCAGCGTACGCCAGCGATAGTGACTATTTTAAAATACAAGACCATAAATATTAAAATAATATTGATTATTAAAACACACTTCCGTGTATTAACAGTATTTTTATGTATTGGCAACATTAATAGTAAATAATGTAATGTAATAAACCGCTAAAATTCTACCAAAATGTTAGGGTAGGCACCGCCTACCTTCCCTACCCTGGCGAGCCGCCACTGTCCAAACTACAGGAGTGCCTTATTTTATGCGACTTTGCTTATGCGCTTTTACATTTTTGACACTAGTAAAATATTTCACGCATATGAACTTTAAAAAACACAATCAACGAGTTGTCGAATTGTAACATACGATGAGAAACGACAACACAGATTTTGGCCACATATGGTCCAAATTTGCCCAACGCGCAGGTGCTTGATACCAGAAATAAAATAAAAAAATGCTGTTTCCAAGGATTTCAATAAATACTTAATATCCAGGATTAAAGACAAACACGACGGTTCTTGATTTGAGATTAGGTCATTCATAACCAACATGACGTTAGCCACAGGCCATGGGTCGTTGTCACAGAACTAGTAAGGGGTTTTCTTTTAATATATGGATAACATATTTTTCTAACAGAGAAAAATGCAATTACGCGTGGGTTACTCTCGTTTTTCCCTTGTATGGCCAAATAACTAAGCTGAAGCTGTTGTGTCGCTATCTAAATTTATATGAAATGTTTAATAAAAATAAAATAAAAACATTATAAAATTATAAAGCTAGAATAGTATACGGTTTTAAGCGGCGGCTACACGACAGCGACTTGCCTGCACGGTATAGTTTGCGCAAACTAGAAGGAACACTGTGCGGTGTCCACACGATGCAAGTAAGGGCGTACGTTCATCATTATTTTTATTCTGAATTTGTGGTTCCGTTCGTGGACATGTCAAGTGACGAATTATTGTTTTTTATTGCTTATTGTTAAAGAAAAAACAGCAAAATAAACGGTATAGATCGAAGTGGAGTAAAAACTGACTTAAATATAAAACCATTTTCTTGTACGCATCATTTTTTCTGTTTCTATCGGAATAATCTTTCAATTTTATTTTCCATAGACATGGCAACGATCAATATATTTCAATAAAACTCGTCATAAATGCCTTATTGGAATAAGTACGAATATCAGACATTTTCTAAGAGTTGATAACTAATAACACAAAACCCACAAAAGTCACAAAACTGTACCTTGAACTCGCTGATACCGTCTACACGTATGATATCACCGCACAAACTGGTTTGCGCAAACTAAAATCTTTAGCAGCGCGACGTTTACGCAGGCCGCGCTTGTTGGTTTGTGCGTGCTACCGTTTTACCGTCTACACACAGCGGGTTCCCGATACAAAGATGTTTGCACAGGTAAGCTCGTGGTAAAGCTTGTACGTGTAGCCGGCACTTTAGATTAACTCTATCTTTTTGAAGTTTATAAAAACATCCATAAAAAATATATATCGTTCAAATCCTTCAATTTAATAGCTGTTAGTAAGAAGTCTCACTTCAAATATGGGCACATAGTGCACACACTATTTTTTTTTATTACCAAAATTCTACATAGAATAAATTTTTTGATTTCTCTACATAAATATTTTGATTTTTTTCAGAATTTACCCTTGTTTTTGTAGGTTACATTTTATTTTCCTTCTATTATTTGTCATGGCATAATAATTACATGAATATTTTCCTCTATTTCAGGCTACCAGATCGTAACGACACTGCCCCACCGCCGCAACCACCATCCGAACCCGCATCAATCCCGGCCCGACGACGCCACTGAGATGCGGCCGCCCGCCGCCCGGTAACCGACGCGCGCGCCTCTGCCGCCGCCCATGACCGCCGTGCACCGCGTCGTCATCGCCGCCGCCTCCGGCATGGACGTCGAACGCGAGATGGTCTACCACCGTCACCAGCAAGAGGCGGGCGCCGCCGCTGCCGCCTCCGCCGGAGCCCCAGTGGCGTCCGGCCAGGCGGTCGACGACGACGTGATGCTGATCAAGGCGGAGCCGACGATGATCGGACCGCAGGGGACAGTCGTCATACAGCAGGTACATAGAGAAAAATATAAACTAATATATTTATTTAGCGTATGGCTCTAGTACACATAAAATCACATGTTATTATCACGGCTGTAAATATTAGTGATGGGATCACTCGAGAGAAAAATACTCGGTCATCCGAGTATTCATATCCTCGGTATATCTCGAGTATTTTTGTCGATCCTCGAGGATTACTCGGCACGCAACTAACATCGAGTGTGGTGTACCGTGTACCGTCCTCGCTGCTCGCGACGATACAGGCGATTTACGGTTTATGCAGAAACCTTTTTTGTCGATCCCCGAGCATTACTCGGCACGCAACTAACATCGGGTGTGGCGTACCGTCCTCGCTGCTCGCGACGATACAGGCGATTTTACGATTTAAGCTGAAACCTTTTATATAGAGGACCAGAGGATAACCGTTTAATCACTTGTTCGCATATCGCTCGCAATAATAGTTGGTTTTCAGAGTAGTTACACAATATGCATTACCTGCAATAATAAAAGATATTTTCTTTAAAGTGTATAATTCTATCTAACACACTTCTAATAAAGTATACTCTGACTCTTTGAACATTTGTTACATCTTCTAATAATTAGGTATATCGATAACTTCCTAAGAAATTTTGTTAGCACTTTTAGTTAGTTTACCATTTTTCTCAATATATCCTGCATAATATATGACTCGATATATTCACCTAGAATAAAATCAATAATATCATTTATGAATAGAAAACTACTAACTTTTTCGTTAATATTTGCAATTTCAGGCCAGAACTTGTCTGAAGAGAACTTTCTTGGTTTGTTTAAAAATATCTTACCCTATAACATAAATTTACATCTGAATTAATCTAATCAGATCAAATTTTCTTCATAGTATAGAAAACATCGAAACTGTTTGACTGGTAATCGAGCTATCAATAAGCTGACACTAAAATTTAATGCATAATTAAATGGGATAATTATTTTCATGTAAAACAAAACTTTATACTTAATAAGACCACAGGGAGTGCATAATTACAACAGTGTTACTGAGATTTTTGATTTAATGTATTGCTTGGTATTTGTAGATCTATTATTGTATTGTGATAACAATTGCCTTCTTCTCCATTGATGCATCCTAATTTAAGATTACTGATTTTCTAATACTTAATTAAAGTGAAATTATTTTTCCTACCATTACATAATTAATCTCTTCCTACCATTAGGTAGATACCTAAAAGGTTAATAAATTAAAAACGAATTTATTAAGACATTTAAACTGTTTACCTCATTTCTCACATATTTTTGACACAAAACATTATAAATAAATAAAAAAATATTCGTATACCAACTGAATTATAAGATATTTCATTTTGAATAATAAAAGTACTTTTTTACAGGTTTATTTGGCATTGTTTGCATTGTTTTTTGTTGTTTTCTGTTTTGTTTTTGTGCGAGTTTAATAACCCACGAATAACCTTAACATAACCTTAAACCACGGCACATAAAACAATCGGCACGCCAACTCTACTCGGGTGTATTAAAAAAATACTGTAATTGACTGAAACTGAATTTTACTTACAATACTTTTGTCCAAACAAATGAATCGTTAACCGCGCATACTTCTCCAAAAGTAAAAATGAAAAAATCAATTAAATATTTCACTGTAGAGAATAGACAATAAAATTAAAAAACATGCAACTAACAAAAACATGCCAGGAGTTACAAACAAGAATTAAAGAAATACCAATAAAATATTTACGTAGCTATATATCGTCCCTTAGCTTACAACACCGCTTAAGTCGTTTTTGCCAACTTTACAGGAGACGAAAAAAACTAGTGATGGGATCACTCGAGAGAAAAATACTCGGTCATCCGAGTATTCATATCCTCGGTATATCTCGAGTATTTTTGTCGATCCTCGAGGATTACTCGGCACGCAACTAACATCGAGTGTGGTGTACCGTGTACCGTCCTCGCTGCTCGCGACGATACAGGCGATTTACGGTTTATGCAGAAACCTTTTTTTGTCGATCCCCGAGCATTACTCGGCACGCAACTAACATCGGGTGTGGCGTACCGTCCTCGCTGCTCGCGACGATACAGGCGATTTTACGATTTAAGCTGAAACCTTTTATATAGAGGACCAGAGGATAACCGTTTAATCACTTGTTCGCATATCGCTCGCAATAATAGTTGGTTTTCAGAGTAGTAACCTGCATTTTTGAACAAAAATACATTACTTTGTTTTGTTTAGATGTTTAGATGGGATATATTAATTATAATATTTAATATTTATTTAAATTATAAAGATTTTTTCTCCATACTTTATATTTTAAGATTTATAGTTTTTTAACCATTGATATAATAATAAAATGTTTTTTCCGTGTAATAATTCAGAATTGAAACATTTGAAAATTGATAATACGTCAGTTTTCGTCTTTCAAAATTCCATTTGACAAAACCACAGTTGTTTATTTGGGTTAAGGCTTTGGAGATTTTGCTTTATTTGCATTTTTAATTTTTAATTTATGTGTTTTCTTGTAAAAAAACCTTTGCTTGTAGTTGTACGTTGGAAGACTATATATTAATGAAAGTATAATCGAAATTTAGTGTGATGAAACGTAGATATAAAGTAAATGATTTGTGGAATTTGCCAACAAGAATAAAAACAATATTGTTGTATATTTTATTTTATTTATTTTTCAAACAGTTTTTAAAGCGACAGCTGACTCGTTGTAAGCCTTAAGCTCGGCCTTAAGTGCAATTTTATTAGTTAATATTTTCTATTAAGAGGGTTCACAAAGGTTGAAAATTCGAAACAATCATCATTAAGAATTTTTTTTTCATTATTAGTTAAGTTGTGCCCAAACAATACAGTTGGTAAATTCAATTTTAAAACTGGATATTATGTCGCACAAAAACTTAAAATATGCACAATAACACAATACGATTTATTACGTACTACAGTTTATTTTCGGTGAAAGTACGCTATTAAAAAGTAAAACAAAATATATTTTTTATCTCAATGACCGATCGCCGACAAATAAACAATAAATAACGAGCCCTTTTTAAAAAGCCGCACGTATTTGCTAGAATTACTTGGTTTCATTTGGCCTGAAAGTGTGCTGAAAGGTTGCCAGATTAGCTTCAAAGTCGGAGTTAAAGAAAGAAACAAAATCAGCACAATTTAAAGCAAAACCTATGAAAATTTTATTTCCCACATGAAATTATACACGAACATATTAAAAATTATTAAAAAAGTGTTTAAAATAATTAGTGTTTATTTTTATTACACTATTATTTAAGTCATTCAAGTACATGGCAACAGTGTTTTTAAAAACAGCAAGCAAATTCACTCACACCCTGCGGCGAGTATTATTCAGGTTTCGATCGAGATAGTATACAGAGAAAAATGTATGACCGATGATTCCTCGGATGATCATCCGATTATTGGAATCCTCGAGGACCAATACTCGAGGATTGAATTCATCCGATTTTTCCCAACACTAGTAAATATACTAATAATAAGAATACGACCAGAAATTGGACATGTCAAACACAAAATATAAAAAAGGAAAATTTTAAATATAGCACAAAACAAACTTGTCACAAACAAACATCTAGTCTTTTTATATAATCAATCGCACTTCGTGTTGCCTTCAGGAATTCTCCAAAATCTCCCTCATACGCCGTTAAAACGCATTCTTCTCTAATATGTCGAACAGTCTGTCATAGAGCTCCACAAGTACCTACCGGAGTGGAGGCCTTCCATCATTTATAGAGAGAATCCATGCACCTGCCATGTTCGGTTCTCAGCCTATTTAGAGTTACCCATATTTTGCGAGGTTGCTAAAAACCAGGAGGAACTGCTGATACATGTGAAACCCTGACTTTGTGGTGGAGCGTTTTCCATCCATTCGTTCATCCATGCATCATATAAGTTGAACTCTGCATTCTCGTCAGTATTCCCAAGTGTTTTTGATCAGAGTGGTGGCTTTCTTGGGCGGAGTCTATTAATATTTAAATCTTCTATGTCACAATGTAGTAGTTCCCAAAAACTAAGCTTTTTACGTCAAGCAGTTTAAGCAGAATCGTGGTTAATAAATTACCTAACTTTTTGGAACACCCTGTATGATTTTTTTTAAATTTAAAATATGTAAAACAACAAAATAAATTATGCGTGTCCAAGCGTTTCCCCGAAAGACTAACCGTTTTTTAAATAACAAATATTGTAATATTTGAGGGGCGTTTTCACCCTCTTGGAATTTGAGATTCGAGAAACCACTCCTTCTCGAACCTCTACAGCCAACAGTCAATCCGTTTGCCAAAAATCAGCTTTACATGTCAAGTAGTTTAAGCAGTATCGTGATTACTCAATGGTCATATTTTATGAAACTCCCTGTATAAATTGTTAAAAAATCTTAATATATGTAAAACAACAAAATAAAATATACGTGTTTAAGAGTTTTTCCGAAAAACTCACCGGTTTTTAAATAAAAAATATTTTAATATTTGAGGGATAGTTTCACCCCCTTAGAATTCGAGTTTCGAAAAATCCCTTCTTATCGAACCTCTACACTGTAAAGTCAATCTGTTTTCCAAAAATCAGCTTTTTACGTCAAGCGCTTTAAGCAGGATCGTGATTAATCAATGACCAGGTTTTTCCAAACACTCTGTATACATTTTTATAAAGTCTTAAAATATGTAAAAGAAACAAAATAAAATATACGCTTAAACACGTATAGTTTAAGCGTTTTTTCGGCAACTTGACCGTTTTTTAATTTAAAATGTTTGTTATATTTGAGGGGTGGTTTCACCCCCTTGGAACTGGAATTTCGAAAAATCCCTTTTTATCGAACCTCTACCCCCTAGAAGCAACCTGTATGCCAAAATTGAGCTTCTTACGTTGAGTGGTTTGAGCAGGATCGTGATTAATCAGTGAGTCACTTAAGGATTATTTATATTAGTATCGAGTATAGATATTTCCATTAAAGCAATTCTTTTCCAAAATTGAGATTTTAGCGTAATGCCCTACCTTTCTGTATTTAAAAAAAAACGATATCTTTTAACTTGACTTTTCGTAACACTAATGAGAGACTATTTTTTTATTTGATTGATTGCGACAAACAATTTAAATTAACAAAAAATACCTTTTATTATTGAACTTTTTTACAACATGTGTTTTCTGTATATATTAACTTCATATTTTATTTTCAGAACGGTCTAGTGTCGATAGCCACCACTGCCGGCGCTACTTTCCTCCAACAACAACCACAATCCCAACAACAATCCCAGGCGGCCAACGGAGGCCTGTCTTCCTCGAACGGCGGCGGCCCCTTCAGCGGTCTGGGCGCGGGCTCGCCAGCCGCCTCAAAGCCGCCGCCACCGCGCCGCTCCACCGCCGCGGATGACTGGCTCAGCTCGCCAAGTCCCAGCGGCGGCGCGTCCTCGCTGACGCCGTCGCCGGGGCCGCCCTCACAGCACGCCTTCACAGTGATCAGCAACGGGTACGGGTCGCCCTTGTCCAGCGGGAGCTACGAACCCTACAGTCCCAACGGAAAAATAGGTAAGTCTTAATACAGTTAAGTTTCGGATCTTTGATAGTCATGACTAATACCAAGATCCAGCATGCTAGACTATTATTATTATGACCCGACGATTTTACCGATTGCTGTCGCTTTATTTTATGAACAGTTTAAAGAACGGCGGAAAGTAACGACATATTATAAGGAAAATAGTTGCTTTACTCCTTGTCAAATCCTTTGTTCTTTTTTTGCCACTTTATATGACCTTGTTCTCGCGTCTAGTGACCACTGACGTGGCTGTATAGTCGTGGTCTATAACTAGGCAAAGTATAGTCGTGGCACTCGCCATAGTTTCACAGAGATATATTTAGGAAAATATGAGTTCACAATAAAATACAAAAAATTGATCAACGAGTAAAATTTTGCTTGAAAACAGAATATTTTCACATTTCGTCTAAGTAACAATAATTCTGTACCTGAAAATCTTCTGATGGCGAGAAATGCGGAAAAATATAATATAATGACATATTTTTATATTATTATCCATTTCAAAGATTTTCTACAACTTTTTTCTAAATTTAAAACAAGTTTAGTTTTAACATTAATGTGTTTGTTTTGCAGTAATATATTGGATAGGTGATTTTCATTGGATAACTAATACATTGAACAACACATTGTACTAAAAATAAAATAACATATTTAAACTTCAATAATTGCTAATAAACATTACAGAAATTTCAAAAGAGAAAATAAGCAAAACAATGAGAAATAGCATCACTACTTTCTCACGTAATAAATTATTAATTTTTTAGTTATTGTTACTGAGTCCCGAAGGTACCGAAAGAACAGGGAATTAATAATTTCTCCTGGTTTTTTAATATCTCAAAAGAACCGGGAATTTCCAGTTCTGAACCCTAGTTACCATGTTATCAAGAAATTATGTTTTTTAACTAAAAACTAAAAAAAAAATAATTTCGATATAAACTACAATTGTCCTAGGACCTTCCGCGGCGTATTAGAGGCGCCACCCTGTACCTAAATAAGTATAGGGAAAAATCTGAAAACTATACATTTGTAATTAAATCATAAAAAATATAGTCTTTATATATAGAAATTTCTTCTAGGAAAAATATATTAAAAAAATACAAGTCTTGTAAGGGTCTTGCAGCAAGATCAATATCAAAATTAAAACTGGAAATTTTTCTACTCTAAAGTTGAATTATAAATTAAAACAGACTTCAATTTTTAACTTTATTTATTGTTAAAAATATTTTTACAATTATTATTTTATATTGTAAAAATATTTTTAACAATAAAAAAATAATATTTTATCAATGTCCTCGTGTACTGCACACTTCTTACTTAGCAGGACTATCTGCTAAGAGAGACACATGCTCGCTTGTCAACTGCAACGAAAATTATGTAAACATTAAAAAATAGAGCAGTTGTAAATAAACTAATATATAAATTTTTGTTTAAATATTTTGTTTCTTTCTCCAAAAAAATCCTTTATGGGTATTTCGCCACTGCACTGCAAGAAAATCTACAAAATAAAATAGTTATTTTTTGTAAACACTTCTGCGTTAAACCTAAACGGACACTGCTTGTCAGAAGTTATGTTTACAGTTATACAAATTTGCCTAAAAAAGAAAAAAATGCTTAACGTTTCGGAAAGTTTACCTCTTTTCATTGTCGGAAGCAAAAAAAATACAAAGAATAAAAAAAACTATTTAAAATATTTAAATTCAACTATTCGAGAACACTTTACTTGTTTAAAACAGATACATCTACAAGAAACCGTTGACGTTCTGTTAAAATGTCATTATATCAAGTTAAACTCCAAAATTAACAATTACTACCTGATAACAATTACTTAATAAGGTAAAATCAAAAACCCCTAAACTTCCTGTATATTTTTTGTTTCTTAATATGTATTATTAGCAAGAAAAATATTGCAATAAGCAACCCAAAACTGTTATTTTCTTTATTTTTAGTTTAAGAAATGTTTTCACCATTGTTAATGTTATTTTAATACGACTCTTTTAAAAGAAATAAAAAACGTTTTAATAGGTATATTTTTTCACATAGAAAAAACGGGAGGGTTGTTAGAAAAAAAAGCGGAAAAGACGCCGCTATAAATAAAGCCGCGTTATTTTTGGGGCGCTGAATATCGGCCAAGAAAGATATCATTTTGTATCTCGTTTGCGGCTAACGAAGTGGCGAGAAAAAATAAGGTCGATAAACAACGCGAGCCTCGGCGTTAATGACAGAAGAAAAAAAGAAGGAAATGAAGAAAAAAGACGCCCTCGTGGGGCAAAAAAAAAGAACTGGAAATAAATTTCAATTATGTCAGTTACAGCGGCGGGTAGAGAGAGCACGTGCTTATCCGTCATTGTACAACTCAGAAAATAATTTTAAAATATGTCCAATTCTTGTGACGGGTTCTTTATTGCAAAATTCTCAGTAATTACAGGGTGGTCCGAACTGTATTCCGGAAATATTCTGCAGATAAAAATAAGTAAAAAAGTTCCTATAAATACATGTCCTTAAATGCTTAGTTTCGGAGATACAGGATGTAGAAGTTTCATTTTTATTTCATTTTTTTTCAAATAATTTCTGAAGTGTCGTCAATATATGGATGAAAATTGGTGTCTTGAAGTTTTTTGACATGAAAAATTTGATTTTGATGTCAATATGACTCCTACTTGTAGAGGGCGCCACCTACATATTTTTTAACTGGTTTGAATAGAATAACTTTTCGTCCATACCTGTATAAAACTCCTTCTAGGAATATAAAACCTAGCTTCTAATTCGTGTCTAGATTATACATGAAAATTGGTGTCTTGAAGTTTTTGGACATGAAAAATTTGATTTTGATGTCAATATGACTTCTACTTGTAGAGGGCGCCACCTACATATTTTTTAACTGGTTTGAATAGAATAACTTTTCGTCCATACCTGTATAAAACTCCTTCTAGGAGTATAAAACCTAGCTTCTAATTAGTGTCTAGATTATACGGGCAATTTAAAAATAAGAACCTTCCGCAAAGATAAAAATCCATAGGCACTAAGTCCTGCGGCCTCGGCGGCCTCGATGGCCAACGGCTGAGATCTTGGTTAGTTATTCAGTTATTCTCTAAATAGACTGCAAAAATTTGCTGATAACTTCAGCGATCTGAGGCGGTGCCTTGTCTTGCTGGAAAAATATATTTTCGAGTTCTATTATCATCAATAAGAGGTCCAAAGCCTACCTACTAGTTAAAAGTGGTGAACTTTTAAAAATTCTGTATTTCGAAGGAATTTTTTTAACAGAATATCAAGTGTGCTATATTTTTAGAAAGGGAATTTTAAGGTCTTTTCATTTAATTAAAAATATACAGGGTGTCTCAAATAAAAAATCAAGTTTTCTGTTGATAACTCGTAAATTATTAATTTAAAAAAATTATATTAAACCATTAAATTCTACGTAAAAAGGTGCTTTAGAAATGTTTTCATAAAAATACAAAATTTTCCATAGAAAAAGTTACAGCGGTTTGATAAAAATGCACAGTTTTGAAAACACCTCCTAACTCATAAACGGTAACAGATATCGATGTGCGGTTTTCACCGTCATGTTTTTGATAAAAATTGAGCTCCAGCCACCGATAGTTTTCATCTATCACACAATAGTTTTCGTCTATCTCCTATAGAAAAGGGTGTTTCCCTTTAAAAGCGTCGAATTTGACCCACCCTGTGCATAGTAGTTATATGTCTACGGAATATTGGGACACGCTGTAGAAGAAGTCAAATCTTAAAAAAATATTAAATACTGAATTGAATGACATTCGATAAAATATAAATTAGCAAATAAACTAAAGTACTAGTTAATTGAAGTACTTAACATAGTATCCCTAAATGAAAGAAATATAAAAAATCCTATATGGGTATTTCGCTTAATAAAGTAAATAAAAAAATAAATTAAATAAATAAATAAAAATAAAATAAAAAATAAATATAAAAAAAGTAAATAAAATATAAAAAAATAATAAAAACAATATAAAAATAATAAAAAATAAATAATAAAGTATTTCCCTTCTTTTCTTAATCTTATTTCTTTTCTTTTTTTAGCTTCTGACAAGTAGTTTTCGTTTGGGATTAACGCTGGGATTAATTAATTAATTAATTAAGTGTTTTGTTTAGGTTTGGTTTGCGCAATACCCATATAGGATATTTTGGAGAGACGAATCCGCCACATAGATATAGACATTTTTTGAAATACCTAAATATAGTATTGATTTGAGTCCTTTTACAAAGAAATTCACGAGTTACCACTGGCGGTGTGTATTTATAGGCCGTTTTGGGTGACAGCAAGCCGGGAACGCAAAGTAAAATGCAATTTGGCGTCCTACATAAAAGAGGCGCCACGTCTGTTAATAGGGATAAAACAAGAAAAAATTCCAGTTATTTTTTCGGTGTTTTGACAGAACATTGATTTAAGAATGTAGGAATTCATATGCAATTAGCATTTTAAAAGTTCGAAAATATATTTTTGATCTAAAAGTATATTGTAAATTTCCGTTTCATATTTTTTGATGTTTTGAATAATGATATTGCAGAAAGATATTTTGGGGCACAGTATCCGAAATACTCCATTAATAACGAAGTATAAAGAAAATCTTTATTTTACTCCAGAGAAGGTCTATTGCTTTTACGTGGATTCTGAACCGCGATCGTCAACCTACTGTTTGACCAGCGGATCTGAAGCTACGGAAGGAATGCGAGAAAAAAAATCGATATTGCCACGTTTATCTATAAAATTGCAAAATTGCCAGACATGAAATATAAATTTATTATATTTTTATTATATATAATGTGTTTAGCATATATTCTGACGTATATTACTAAGGAATTTTAACGTAGTTCATATTGTTCGATATGTTTTATTTAATAACTTATTTCTTTCATTCTGTATAATCTGCCTATTATGAAAGTTGAAGATTTTTCAACGATATCATTGGCAAACCGGCATCGCCGCGCATGGCCGCCTATTCATCGAACATGA